GAGGAGCGCAGATTTTCTTCCTCCCTCCGCGGCCGGCTGCTGGCCTCCGGTGGTGCGCAGTTGCGTGGGGATTTCGGTAGGGGGGGAGGGGGGAGGGGCGACGTGGGCGGCTCTGCTCCCACAGCGTCGATAAGGAAGAGATGAGCCCACATAGACGTCGTAAACCGGCCGCGTAGAAAATGACCCTCTGCTCTGCTCCGGGTGAAAATGGACCGTGCTATTTTCTCGTGGACGATGGCTCCCGCGTCGTGGCTGGGCTCGCGCTCACGCAACAACCTCTCGACTGGACTCCTGTCCTGTCGTCGCGCGGCCGGGGAAGAGCGCAGCCTGGACTCCCGGTGAAGTGCCGGCCAGTGGCTCCAGTAGTGCTGCAATCAGCTGCTCCTGACACTTTTGTTTTTAAACATAGTACAATGAAAGTCGCTCGCATACACGAGCATACACTCATTCAATGAAGCCCCGTGTCGTCTAGACACTTCTCCGCTTACACTTACTTAGTTTCCTTTTCAGATTTGTACCAGCAATGGCGTCTTCAAATCGGACTCTTAAACTGCATGTAACCGTCCAGACTGCGTGATCCGAATGACTTAGTCATCCAACATCCACGTAGGACTCCGACACTCCTGGCCCACCCAGAACCCCTCCTCGGACCCCGTGCCTCCATCCTTTCATTTTCCCTCCTTCGTCTTTCTCCCTTGCCTTCGTCGCCGCTATCTCCACCACCCCGGCCGTCACGCCACACCCCTGCCGAAACTCGACAAGTCCTTCACCTCCACCAGTACACCCGGGCTCCACGCCGCTTCTCCTCCCCCGTCGTTCTGTTGGGAAACGTAGCATGCAATTTCAAAATTTTCTTACGCCCACGCAAGATCTATCTAGGAGATGCATAGCAACGAGAGGGGGAGAGTGTGTCCACGTACCCTCGTAGACCGAAAGCGGAAGCATTTGACAACTTGGTTGATGTAGTCGAACTTCTTCTCGTTCCGACCGATCAAGCACCGAACGTACGGCACCTCCGAGTTCTGCACACGTTCAGTTCGATGACGTCCCTCGAACTCTTGATCCAGCAAAGTGTCGAGGGAGAGTTTCGTCAGCACGACGGCGTGGTGACTGTGATGGTGAAGTAATCCGTGCAAGGCTTCGCCTAAGCAGTACGACAATATGACCGGAGGCGTAAAATGTGGAGGGGGACGCCGCACACGACTAGGAATCAATGTTGTGTGTTCTAGCGGTCCCCTCCATGTATATATAGGTTGGAGGGGAGGAGAGTCAGCCAAGGGGGCGCCCCAAATAGGAAGAATCCTAATTGGGCGCCTCCCAATTCGGCCTCCCCCCTTTCATATTCATCCGGAGGGGGAGGGAAGGAGGAGGGAGGAGAAAAGGAAGGGGGAGGCCGAATCCCTCCCCTTCCTTTCCCTCTTCTCCTCTTAGGGGCTGGTCTGTCCCCTTCTTGGCCCATTAGGCCCATGTAGTTGCCGGGGGATGCCCGGAACCCCTTTCGGTGACCCGATATGTATCGGGTACCCTCAGAAAACTTCCGGTGTCCGAATATCATCGTCTTATATATGAATCTTTACCTCTCAACCATTTCGAGACTCCTCGTCTTGTCCGTGATCTCATCCGGGACTCTGAACAACATTCGGTCACTAAATCATATAACTCATATAATACAAAATCGTCATCGAATGTTAAGCGTGCGGACCCTACATGTTCAAGAACTATGTAGACATGACCGAGACACCTCTCCGGTCAAGAACCAACAGCAGAACCTGGATGCTCATATTGGTTCCCACATATTCTACGAAGTTTTTTATCGGTCGTACCGTAATGACAATGTTATTCCCTTTGTCATCGGTATGTCACTTGCCCGAGATTCGATCGTCGGTATCTTCATACCTACTTCAATCTCGTTATCGGCAAGTCTCTTTACTCCTTTCGTAATGCATCATTCCACAACTAACTCATTAGTCACATTGCTTGTAAGGCTTATTATGATGTGCATTATCGAGAGGGCCTAGAGATACCTCTCCGACACTTGGAGTGACAAATCCTAATCTCGATCTATGCCAACCCAACAAACACCTTCAGAGATACATGTAGAGCATCTTTATAATCACCCAGTTACGTTGTGACGTTTGATAGCACACGGGATATTCCTCCGGTATCCGGGAGTTGCATAATCTCATAGTCAAAAGAATATGTATATGACATGAAGAAAGCAATAGCAATAAAACTTAACGATCATTATGCTAAGCTAACGGATGGGTCTTGTCCGTCACATCATTCTTCTAATGATGTGATCCCGTTCATCAAATGACAACTCATGTATATGGTTAGAAAACTTAACCATCTTTGATTAACGAGCTAGTCTAGTACAGACTTACTAGGGACACTTTGTTTTGTCTATGTATCCACATATGTATCAAGTTTCCGATTAATACAATTCTAGCATGAATAATAAACATTTATCGTGATATAAGGAAATATAAATAATAACTTTATTATTGTCTCTAGGGCATATTTCCTTCACGTTCCATACTTCTCCTTCGACCGCCGCACAGGTACCATCGGCTCCTGCGATGTTCACCATGCCTGGTGACGGTGTCCTGGACTAGGGGGTACTCACCAGGTCATATCCCGATCTGTTAGATTGGGCCGAGGACCCCCATGGCCGTATACTCATGGGCCAGTTCGGACAGCTGCGGCATACATGAAAGATTCCACAAGACTTGGTGACCAAGACAAGGACTCCTCCCCACCGGCGTATTCGGCTAGGACTCTTGTTATCCTAGGCCTCTGATGCATTATATAAATCAAGGTCAGGCTAGTCAATAGATATATACAACAATCATAATCATAGGCTAGCTTCTAGGGTTTAGCCTCTCCGATCTCGTGGTAGATCAACTCTTGTACTACTCATATTGTCAAGAATAATCAAGCAGGACGTAGGGTTTTACCTCCATAAAGAGGGCCCGAATCTGCGTAAAATACCGTGTCCCCTGCCTCTTGTTACCATCCGTCTTAGACGCACAGTTCGGGACCCCCTACCTGAGATCCGCCGGTTTTGACACCGACATTGGTGCTTTCATTAAGAGTTCCGTTTGTGTTCGGCAAAAGGTTGATGGCTCGCCTGCAGATCAACTGCGACTTCGACATCTTCGTCACTAGCTCGACTGGTCACCTTGGTTCGACCAAGGACTGCGCCCTACCTCCGATCGTCATGTTCGGATGAGGGCCTTTATAAACATCAACTCCGATCTCTATCGAGATCATGGAGGAATCATCCAGGGAGCCTAGGGGCTCAACGTCAACATTGCCCTCGGGCGACTGTGCTGTTTTTTTGGATAGCAAACTTGTGTCCGCCGCCACCGCCTCCTCAAGTGTCTTTTAAACGATTGCTTCGATGGAATTGTGCGGAATTGAGTCTACAACAATCCTGGAAAATTTTGTCGAGTTCCGATGAAGGAATCTCTGGCAATCCACGATATACCGGAGCCCTGTCAAATCTGGATGGGAATCTGGACGAGTTTAGGGCGTGGTGTCCAGCTTCTAGCTCGGACGTCCTTTGGAAGATCCAACCGTTGATCGGCTGCGGAATTCCTATATCTACCACCTCTCAAAATTTCAGCTCGATCCGACCGTCCAAAATCCGGGAACCTTCCGATTAGTGCATCACTTTTCGGATCTGTTTTCTGCGCGAAAACGAATCCGACTCGAGTTCGTCTTTTTTATGAACGGGATTTCAGACATCCTTTTTGAAGGAAGTTTTGTATGGGGTATTGTGTTTTGTTCCCGAACACATCCTAC